AATTTATTTTTAAAAACTTTTACATTTTAATCATCTTTTATTTTTTTTTTTTTTTTTGGTTGTAAGTCGTCGACCAAGTGTACTGTCTTTACAAACCAAAGTTTTCTTTACGTTACATTATTTTCATTTCCGATTTTACACCTTTTATGGTTCTATGTTTACTCTGAAATGTGTACAGCTGATGTTTAACTGCAAAGGGCAAAAGAAACTAAATGGAACGCACCAAACTTGGTGCCGGCAATCCCTTTCTTTCCCTCGCTGGCACTACTGGTGCTGCTTGTGGTGGAGAGGGTGGGCGAGGGATGCCGTTTCCGGACAGGAACTGAGTTGGGAGCGCTGCCTGATGGCTCACACTCTAATGACAGGCTGTGAAGTTTGTCTTCATCTGTTATCACACGCATGTTGTTCAGGTAAGCCTTCACGCGACGAACCATCTGTGCCTGGCGTGCAACATAGTGACAAATGGTAAGATGCAATTAACTGCCAGCCCTTCGTACATTCTTTGCACAAAGTAAATGCATATATGTGAGAATGTGGCTGCTGTTTGTCTGTACGTTTCATCTCTGGAAGACAAGACCATGCCAAACAGTCAATCTTTGGATACAAACATGTTAGCTATGGGATTACCAAGACACCCAACCACTTTCAGCTTACGACTTGAGGAAATTTTGATAGACCATGGGAAAAGCAAGTACTGGGAAGTACTGCCTTTTTGCAGTATCAGACTGGACAAAATTAAAAATGAAGCTTTATACTCGTATATATGGTAGAACCTAAATATTCATTCAGAAAGCAGAAGAAAAGGTGAATAGTGGAATCTCCTGGAATGTGACTCCATCTTCAGTGTCAGAGAGTAAGCCACACAAGCAGCATTCATGTTGATTGGCTTACACTTCAACCCTGAAGATGAAGGCAACACATCCAGGAGATAATACTGTTCACAGTGACTGCCACGTGAACCTTAAACACAAAATAGATGACTACAGAAAAAAATGATTAATCCATCCCAAGAAACACGTGAAGAGACTCCCAAACCTTCTCTATCGGCTACACAAATATGGGGAGAGCATTCAAAACATGGCTATGAAGTCAGAACAGATATAAGCAAACAATGACAATAACATGACAACAGTGCAGTACCTCCTCAAACATCTTCTTCGGGTTGGGCTGAGCTGTTGACTTCTTCCGCCTCTTGACAGTGGCAGCACCTTGCTGACCACCGGCTCCACTAGCCATTGTCAACTGATTCAGTGCTACCATGGCATTCGACGGGGGCTGTCCACCTGTCACACATCAATAAAAAATTGTTTTGATCCTCTCTACTGTAGCAGTGTGATCAAAGCTGAGAGAAATGTGCACAATATCTTACCGAGACCCAACATTGTGAGCAGATCATATGGCGAGGAGCACATGTTGGTCAGTGTCCGCACTTCCTTAGCGATCATCCGCAGCTTTTCAAAGTTAATCAGTCCTTCTATTTTTGAATCATTTCCCAAGTGAATGAATGTCAGATCTTTCTTTACTACTGGGTAAAATGGAATCTGTAGGGCAAAACCATAAAATGTGAAACATTAATACAGCAAACAGCATGGACACGTGTTGTTATGCACAGATCCATCATGAGCTGTTGCCCGGGATGGAATGCTGTGTAGTCTCTAACAGAATGTTACCAAGATGGAGCGGCTTGTTACTTGCATCTTCAGGGTAGAAGATTTATGCAAGTATAGTGAAAAGTTACTGATGTTTCTGAGGAGCCTGTTGCCTCCATCTTCAATGTAGATGAGTCTTTTAACTCTGGTAAAACATTATCAATATTTCAGAGGAACCTGCTGTTTCCATCTCACAGGTATAAGTTCTCTGTATTATAAAAATGCAGGGGAATCTTCTACCACACTACACCGCATCACATCCTAGATGACAACTTTCAGTGACTGCCACAAAAATCTTCAATGCAGATGTTACGTAAAGAATTACTGGGAAAACCAAAAACGAAGTGAGGAAAAACACAGAAGAGAGTACAGAGAGTGGACATGGAGGAACGGGGAATGCTTATGGGAGGACAGGAGAATGGAAAAGGCAAGGAATACAGGAAGAGATGGCAAGTGGATAGACACACAAGAGGATAGGTGGGTGCAGAAAAATGAAGGAGGCTATGGACATTGTAAACAGATACATTTGTAACATATCTTTATAACAAATCACTTCTTAATAGACGCAAAGGTTCAGTCCTTAATTTTACAAAGAACTTACACATAATATGAAAATACAAAAGCAAATATGACTTACAATAGGAGGCTGGGACTGCTCTGAGCTCACCAGCTGACGATACTTGCTCATATTACGAGATGGGTCCATGAGATCTTGCAGGTCACTGAATAACCGCTGATATTTGCTTGGTAATTTCTCCCAAGATAATCGGAGTCGAGACACTGCCCCATGGCCAAGGCCTGAGACGATCGCAAACATCGAATTGAAATTCTTGCATTCTTTGCATTGCCCTGCACACAGAAAATTATTCAACTTCAAAATGCTATTTCAATGACAGAAGAAACACACAGCACATACTGTTGAATTTCGGTGCTCTTGAATGTAAGAACTCATATTATTTTTATAGTCAGCAATGACAATATTTTGCATATGTGTTACTTCCAGCCCTATACATAAAATATAAATAAATAAATATACATATATATATGGCTGGAAATGGGGGTAGATAAACGCAGATGCCACCTACTTAGTTCCTGAACACTCAATTTTGAAGCTACTTCAAATGCCACAAAATAATTATCGTTGCAAAACGTGATATCTAGAGGAATGAATTCACAAGCTAACACTGTAATAATTATGTTTTAATATGTTTTGATTTCAACTTCAGGCTTTTCTGTTAATCTGCAGTGTCTACCTAGTTCTGAAAGCCACATTCAACCGTTTATATACAAAAAGGCAGAAAGGTTTGTTCATGCTTAAAATATCCTCAGATATTGTTCATACGTTAACAGAATTATAGCAAATAACTTTTATTATTATATAAAAAAATGGAGCAGATGTATGTTTAACAATTAGAAGTTCTGATGGATTTATATAAGCCAAAATTTGCTCAACGGTTATTTCTGGACACCATTCATGCCAAATTTATGTGCACTCTAAGCATCATGAAAAGTTCTTACTATTCTTAACAGAAATGTGCATCCTTCATTTCTTTGTTCTACTCACTTGCTACTTTAATAAACTGCTTGATGATCTTCGACCTCCTGACTAGATTATGTTCTGAGCAAACCTCTGTCACTACCCAAAACATTTCCCGATTCACCAACTGTAAAGAGTTTAAATGTTATTAGGAACAACAAAGTAACACAAAAAAAAACATTCATATATTTTGCAGTTTATGCAACTGAATAATGAGTACAAGCACTTATCTATTGATGTGGTGCATTTTTAGGGTTCTCAAGAACTATTATACTTTAGACTTCATGTCACTACAGAAATTTCAAATACCAAATTCAAATTATGATTCAGTTTAGACTGTCACATATCATGTGGTCTTGGTGTTCAAAGTTAACAAATGTCTAAACAAGAAATTATGTTAACAAGTTACATAGGCATTAAGACACAATGTAAAAGTTTCAAAAACACACAAAATCAAATGCTGTGGTCAGGTAGGCAGCAGTGGAACTTAATTATTCATAGAAGCTACTCACCTCAGCAAACTGTGACAGCATTGGAACGCCGTAACGGCTCTTCAGTTCAAACAGATCATCCACGTACTCGGTGCTCTCTATCTGGCGGAAAATGCTGAAGTCCTGAAGTGTCAGCTGAATTGCCACTTCAACTGCATTGAGTTGCAGGAAATGCACTTGACTTTCACGCACAAGCTCAGGTGCCATTTCATCCGGGACCAATGTTTCTGTTGTACCGTTTGTCTTCAGGTAATATCTGTAGCAATGTTCAGCTCAATTAGGAATTCTGTTATCCTTACTTACAGGCCTCAAAAATTCAGTGTAATAAAGAGGAAATACAGAGCAGGTGGAAGATACATGCGAATAAAGTCACACCGTGGATGCGCATAGTAACTTTGCTTACTCCTTTGCTCCAAGGGCCTCTTGGAACCTTGGCCTCCTCTTACAACAGATGATCATTTTTCTTTATAGTTTACCTTTTGCCTCCACCTCTTCATTTTCATCTCTGATATATCATTCTCTACATCTTCCAGCCACCTTAATCTGGGTCTCTAACTTTCCTTTTACCTTCCAGATTACCTTCCAAAATTGTGTGAAGTCACCCCAGCCTGATCCATTACATTCACATGCCCCCAAGAATTCAAAACTTCCATGTTTCATATCTGTTATCAGAGGAAGAGTTTTTTACATAATTCACCCAGAGTTTCGTTCGTTCTGATTTTCCACATTCCTGGCCCAGTTACTGGTCCATACACCACTCTACAAATGTTCCCCTGTGCTGTGTTTTGTTTGAACGTGTTTATGTGTATTATTTGTCTGTTGTCTTATTGTAGTACCACTGCTACCGGGTGAAAACCCATTTGCAGTTAAATAATAATCACAGATCCCAGTTCACATATACAATTCATCCTTTTTGGAAGCAGACCATGTTTCACAACTACTGAAGAAACAATTACACAGCAACTGAGAGGAATGAAGCAAGTATTGCCACAAGAACACCCATCCTGGCTGAAATACTCATGCACAATGATAATGCTAGGATACAAAACATTGTGTCTACAGACTAGCTCACAACAAATCCAGTGAAATCTGAGATACTCACCGACTGCTGAGTCCAATCCTCTCAGCCAAGTTCTGGAGTTGGTCTGGCAACCTCCTCTGCTTGATGATGCCCCCTTCAGCAACCGATACCTCACACAGAGAGAAGTGTGAACTGGGATCTGTGATTCCAAATTCCTGCAGCGCCAGCATTACAACTTCATGGGCAGTTGTCTCCTTATGCACCAGGAGGTATTTACAGGTCTGGTCCGGTTTGTACACTTTGAGCACGTGCTCTGGATAATCCGACGAGCGCAGATCATCGTAGATTGTGCTCATGATATCAGGATTACTGTGACTGTGGATTAACATCGTCTGATGTGATGGCTGCATGTTTGTGAACGAATTATCCTCACTGTGTACACCGTCACTATGGATGAAACATAAGTTTGTGACATTAAAGCCTTACTGTTTCATGCCCAGAATGTACAATTATGTGGGACAACAATGAACAAAGAGGAGAAGGGATGCAGGTTGAAGGAAACAGTGATGAAGCAGCAGAGGAGGGAGAAGGGAAATGGTGGATGATAATAAATAAGATGGGAGAGAGAAAAAACATGGAGAGAACAAAATGGCAAGAAACAGAACAAGAGTAACAGCAGCTTAAGATGAGAGAGAACAAAAGGCAGAAAGTAAAGCAAGAATATGAGAATAAATAGAGTTGTCTGAATGTACAGGAGGAGGATGACAGAAAAAGAATGACAGGAAGGAAAGAAAACAAGGAAAACAAAAAAAAAGTTATATTTATGTCGATTTGAAACTTGTATGGTGACTACATGCAATGAATATTCTGCTGCCTCAGTATCAAGTTGGTCTCAAACAGTTCAGTGACTGACCACATCACTGTGATCAGGAGTTGACATTTAAGTCTTATTTGTTAATTATGTGCCATACTGAATAATGTTCCAGATAAAGCATACACATCATGAACCAACATTTGTATAAACAGCACTTTTTAGAGGGGGAAAAAAATAAAGTTCTGGTGAACATGGACCTAAAAAATATTTCCGTGACAATTTTTGGAGTACATCTCCAGCATCACATTCAATCAAAAGCATCTCAGTAATTACAGAGAAGCTGCAAGCAAATGCAGGAAAGTCTTCTCAGAAAATCGGCTGACTGCCCAGGAAGATATCTCTGATAGCAACATTTATGGGCTGTGAGGAATGCAGGAAGTAACCATTAAAGGCATGGCAGACAGCACGGAATAGCAACTACTACCTGAGCCAAAACAGAACTGCTTTAATTCAGTCCAGTCAATCACTACAAAAGTGCACTTGTGGCCAATATGTTCTGAACTGATGCTATACACAGTAGGTAGGTCTGTTCCCTTCCTCTCCCCCCAGCCTCTACTAGACACCTCAGCATCTTCACATATCCCATGCATAGGAAACAGCAATTTACATGAACTCACGTGATGGTATTTTTGGGGAGGATGTTCATTTTTTCAAGGGCTCTGCGTAGCCTGTGCTTGGGGCCAAGTGTCATGAAGCCTTTATGTCCATCCTTCTTCCCGCCCGTCCCACCATTGGTCTCTTTGATAGGGGATGCAGTAAGCGACGTCCCCAACGTGATTGTAACAGAGGGAGTCGTCGGCGTGTTGGAAGAATTGGAAATTGTTGGCATCACTGACAAATGCATCACGTCCAGTCTTGCGCGGGGATCAGGCTGCAGTAGCGGGATCTCTGAATTCTTGCGGATCTTGTTGCGAGGGGAATTCTCTGGTGTCTGCAGCATCTCCTTGAAAGCTGTGAATGTCAGACTCACCATTAATGCAATATTCATGCCTTCTTGCATCACCTCACTTCTCAACAATGTCTTGTGCAGAACATTCTTTAAAATGACGACACCTATCCAGCCACGGAACACAAAAGTCCATCATACGTGAAGAAAATCCTGCTTCTGGACCACACTCTGAGCAAACTGAATCAATCTATCCACATCCTATTCTTCCTAGAGAGAATTCCAATTTACACCCCCCCTCCCCACCAATCTACATTACTGTCTCCAAAACAGTCTCTTCATTTTGAGCTCTTCTGACTAGAAGTGTATTCCTGTCTTCAATTAATTGAACATCATGTCATGAAAACATGTGGGATCATCAGTCTTAGCCTTGGCACCAGATGGAAGCAGCGAATGGTCAGCTTTATGCCAGTCGTCTTACCTCTGGGGAAACAGAGGCCAGTAACCATTGCGTAGGAGGATCAACGGGCCCCAGACCTTGTCTGAATGCTATAAAGAAGATAACTCTTCCTTTCTGGGAACTGCTGAACCCTGGTTCTCCAGTCATACAGCCCATAGTCCACTTACTATACTGACCAAAATAGCCTTCCTCCCAGCTACTGTGGATTATATTTTGTGTGTACTTTTCAAAGGTTACCCATAACCTTCTTGCAAGTATATTTGCATTATGTCACATAATGTTCTGGACACAGAACTTAAGTTCTCATGAATCCGTTGCTTATACTACGGCACTCATGAAACGTGTAAAGCTTCTTATGTGTAAAGAGAATTTTTCTTATTCTCTCTGAAAACATGTTCAGATGTAAGTTATTTGACGACGACAGTGAATCTAAATATACAAAGGATTCCTCAGGTGCGGAAAGAGAACAGATGGACATAACCTAGCCGCAAGTAAAGTAGCGGTGAAGAGACGATAAATTAATACTCTTGGCCATCTCCGTTTACTTACCGAGGAGATTAGATTTGACAGTAATACTGAGATGAGTAGTACCACGCAGAACCTCCAGAGCTTTTGGATGTGTTACATGATCAAAGCTCTGACCATTAACCTCTAAAATCTGATCACCACGCTTCAAACCCACGTCCTCTGCTTTCGATCTCTTGTCCACCTACAAAATTAAGCATTTTCGTGTCACTTTCATATACACACATATTTATCATCATTTGAGAATGATAAGAGATATAAGTATCACATTCACAAACCCTTACCTAGCTGCCTGTCTAAATAACAACTACTAAAAAGGTTTATTTAATCACTTTTGGGTCTTGCTTGTTATCAAGAAAACATCAGAATCTTTTATTCTCTTGAGGTTTGTAATTACGATGGATATACGATGGGGTACCCAAAAGAAACTGAACTAATTTTTTTGTGGGCAGAGCTTTTGTAGTACCTCGTTTTGCCACTATGAGCGCATAGAGCTAACATTCCTGAGTCGATAAGCCTACTACCGTTGCTTCAGAAGGTAAGGACTAGTTTCGGCAGAGTTTATAGTGACAACTGTTTTGTGTGATCGTCGTTTTTGCAATGGTTGATTTTTGTGAACAGCGTGCGGTGGTGAAATTCTGCTTTTTGCTCGGGAAAAGTGGAACAGAAACTCTTGAAATGTTAAAAACGGCGTACAAGGACGATGCTATGGGGAAAACTCAAGTGTTTGAGTGGTTTTCCCGTTTCAAAAATGGTGAAATGTCAATTAATGACAACCCTCGTTCTGGTCGTCCTTCCACGGCCCGAACACATGAAAATGTTGAAAAAATTCGTGAAATCATCAAGGAAGATCAACGACGGACCATTGAAGAAATTGTGGAGCTGTCAGGAGTGACTTGGAGCTCAGCGGCCAGATTTGTGGCAGTCGGGTGACTGGTTTTTCCATCATGACAATGCCCCTGCTCACACAGCCCTGTCTGTACGACAATTCTTGACCAAAAATGGTATGACCCCTGTTCCTCACCCTCCATACTCACCTGACCTTGCCCCGTGCGACTTTTTTTTGTTTCCTCGAATGAAAAGAGACATGAAAGGAAAAAACGACGGAGGCGCTGTCAAGCATCTCAAAAGATGAATTTAGACAATGTTTTGAAAAATGGAATAAAAGACTAGACAAGTGTATTAGTGTAAGTGGAGAGTACTTTGAAGGGGATTGAAGGTTTGTGCTTAAAATTTTAATAAATAAGTTAAAAAAAAATAAGTTCGGTTTCTTTTGGATACCCCCTCGTATTTATCTCTAGCTTGTATAATAATAATGGTGTCAGAAAGTCGGGACTATGCAGGGTTGGTCATGATAACAAATAAACTGAAAGGAATGTGGAAGGAAACAGTCTTGGCTTCATTTAGAACATTCCAATTTTCCTGAAATGACTGAGAAAAATGCAAAGAAACTCGGAACAGTCAAGTGTCCCAGCTGAAATTCAAACTGAGAATCTTCCAGATATGTCAGAAGTGTTAGTGACAGACAACAAAATAAGAGGACAAGCAACAAGTTTTAATTATTTGAGTTTAAAGGTACCATACTGTCTGAAAGAAAACGTAAACATTGGGCTACATAAATTTCAGAGAATGTGCGGACCAACATGAAGATCACTGAGGTAAAAAACCTTACAAATGTCACAATTAAAATTTTACAATGTAATGGCACTGCCTATGCTGACTTATGCAAGTGAAAACTGGACAATAAATGGACCAGACTAGAGGAAAGTAGAGTCAACTGGAACAAGGTTCATACATCCAGTAGCTGAATACACTGCCCTATATATAAAACGAAGTATATACACATACATACATTCAGTATTAAAAATATTCAATTTGACTGAGAGAATCAAAAGACAAAAAGAACAATGATACATTCTTCAGTACTTGGCAAGCCCCACCTTGGATATGAAGATCCCAAAGCCCCTCTCATAACCACCCAGAATGGAGAAGTGGAGGACCTCATCACGTGATGGTCTCGCAAGAGTCACGTTACGTGTTCGAGCCTTTGCAGCACAAGCAATGTTGAGAAGTCGCAGCTGCCCCTGCATTTTCTCTTGCTCCAGTCCAATCTCAAACGTTTCCAGGAATTCCATCATGGCAGGATCTGTCTCAAAGTCTGTGAAGTGGTTGTTCACCCAGAGGAGCACGACTCTTGTCACCCTGTCTCGCACTACCCCCTCATTGAACCTATGGCACAGGGAACAAAACATTCTTGTAACAGACCACAATAAGGATTTACGCAAACCATAAATATCAGCCATTTTTGGGCCACAGCCTTCCTTAGAAAATTCTGCCAGAATTCATCTGGTTTTCAGTTCTTTCAGTTTTGTAACAATTTTTTTAATAGAGTATGCATCTAACACTGCCAACCTGGAGGACCAGGTCTCTGTATTTATGCACCCCCAGAGAAAGGGTGGCCCAGCTATATGCACAGGCACCTGGTTCTCATTCTATTGCCTTCTCAGACTCACAGGGGCTACATTGGAGGTATTCTAACCTGCCTCCACAATGCATGGTGCTGCACCTGTTATAGACAGTGTCATGTAACTTCGAACAAGGTCCCGCATTCCTAGTCAAATCCGGCGCATAGCTTGTGGTGGGAGGAGTTTCTTAACACTCATTCTTCCAATTTCACCAACTCCCCTTTCACCCCCTTGTCTGAAATTTTTCTTCTGAGCATTCAAGGTTACTCTTGGCCTTGTTCGAAGTCACACGACACTTGCTATAACATTCACCCAGCTCTTAAAATCAAGCAATACGGAAGCTCACACATCAGTGCCACTACAGTACCATGTCCCTGCACTTAATTAAGCACCATGCCATGAAGACATACAATGGAGTGGAGGTAAAGCACCATCATTCTTGACCTCAGTACTAGATGGAGGTGAGTGGTCAGCGATCCCCTGGTACCCATTGGGTAGGAGTCTAGCTGGGTCCTAGAACCATTCTGTACATTGCAGAATAAGAGTAAAATCTCTTACCCCTGCCAAGAATCGAATTCTGGCCATCCAGCCCACAGCCCATCACTGTACTGACTCCCTTGAGCAACAGACAGATTCAAGTATCTTACAAGTATCCAACTAATCAAATAATCAACCGCTGGTAGTTAACTAGCTCCACTGTGCAGTGTTTTCTTTGGAAAGTGTGTTACTGAGCTGCTCATGGAACTTAAAAGCTTCATCATTCTGTTTATAAGAGCTCACTTACCACTGCAGCAACTGGTTAGCTACTTGCACTGAACCGTTAATGAAGGTGCGGTGTGTTAAGAGGAAGTCCTCGACATATGTCGGATCAATAACTGAGTTCTCCTCTATCAGCTGCAGCATTAACCTCTCCGATGTCCCCTGAAAATTATAATTACCACTACAAAACTATACAACATACTGTCACATGACAAGCGACAACATATGGGGCTTTGGGTTAGTAATCAGACTTAATGATCTCTTCAAACAACTTGTAACTACAAATAACTATGAGTCTCACTGAGTTACACACTGTTAACTACAGCACACTAGAGTCTTCTTAGTCTTCACTAGCCGTTTCCAACAGTTGACATTCCTCTTCCTCTGGGTTCCAGACCCGTCCCTGGCCTGTTACCAGCTTCTTGCTTCTCACAAATGAAACTCTAACCAACTCAACTGAGCTACTAGCCCTCATTATATATTCCTGGCACAGACTGCACAGAAAATGTCTCTTCCATTATTGTGTGTTCTCTCATTGCCAGGGAAACAGCATGTACACAGAGCTGTTTCCTAACAACGGCTGTTGTACTGTCACCTGTTTACATAGCTGTTACTTGACAATGGGTCTAAATGTCAAAATATGCATCATCAATAGAATACAGAATACTCTGCTTAAATGAACAGGAGATTCTATTCCGAATAAAAAAAAATCCTTACTCTGCAACTGGCTCTGCTAAGCCAGAAATGATGCTCCCAACTGAAAGCCTTGGAATGTGACAATGGCCCACCTGGTCAAGGCTATCAAACACCTCAGGGGCACTGGAGTATGGAGGAATGACGGACTGATGATTAGAAAGGAACAGCGAAGAAAACTCCATAGAACATAAAAATACAGTTCAGAGTTCCACTTTCATCCACAAATTTCTCATTAGCTCATCAGTGACTGAACCCAAGGCTCTGCAGTGACAAGCAAGATCTGTCTGAACTCTGGCACAACCCTCATTCCTAATGTAGCATATGTGAGGTGAGCGGCTGTCTTTCCTTCGGTGTCTCATGTATATTCGCTATGACAGCACAGCGAAGTTACACAGCAAAAGCAAATAGGAAGTCAATATAGTGCAGAATGCAGTCACAGTGAACTATGCCTCCCATATTGCACGAATCTCTTACTTCAGGACTATGCCCAACATAAAAATATTACATTATGTCATCATCCCTGGCAAAACAGCCCTTCTTGAGCTACAGCCTTCCTCGGGGGATTCTGCCTCATCGCATCTGGTTTTCAAATCTTTGATTTTTGCCAACAGATTTTTTTTTTGTACAGCAGGGCTGTCAGCCTTGTCATATTAAACAGTGAGATGATAATGATTTGACTCAATTCTGAAGGAAAACAATTATTTATATTGTGATTATCTGGGTTATGACTCCACACAGTCATGTAGGTGGTTATCAATGTCCTGAAGAAACATACTACATCCATTTTGAAGGGAAATTGCCACATTATGAATCTTCACAACTTTGAAAATCTTAAACCTCATACGGAAAACTGANCATTGCATGCCGTGTTGTCTTTATACTAAAATAACTAAAATATATATTCGTCATATATATTGATAGATTTTTTTGATAAATTTTAAATATTAAAAATATTAAAACTGTTCAGGATTTGTCATCCTTAAGTCGTATCTCAATACGCGAGTCACACCTATCTTCTTCTATCGGAGTATTCTTCCTACTTTCATGTGTGTATTGTGCTTTGTGTTGTGTCTTGCTCCTGTGACTGCGTGTGTTATACTGTTATTTAAAATTTATCAATATATATGACGAATACATATTTTAGTTATTTTAGTATAAAGACAATAGGGCATGCAATGAAGTAGTTCGACGTACATCGAAAAGCACCTGAAGATGGCACTTTAGTGCTGAAACATGTAGTGCAAGAGAGAAGAGTAAGGTGAATAAATGTATGCACTGTAAGCTGGTCAGAATAAATCATGGACTCACATGGAAAACTGAAAATCTCAAACCTCTTATGGAAAAATTGTGAGAATCTAAAACCTCCTATGGAAAATTTGTGAAAATCTCAAACCTCTTACAGAAAAATTGAGAGAATCTAAAACCTCATATGGAAAATTTGTGAAAATCTCAAACCTCATATGGAAAACTGATTGATATTTCGATTATTAACAATACTTTTCCAGCTGCAATGGTAAAAGCATCAGATGGCAAGAGATTCTGGTCAAATTGGAACAGATGTGACAGCAAGCAGTCATGGCCTTTCTTTGAAATAACAGCCTAGCATTCAAGCTGAGAGACTGAAAGAAATTAACAAAATACTTCTCAGTGGAGAAAGAAAATACTTTTCTTTATTAATTTCACCATCGGAGAAGGGAAAATGTCTTACATTTAGGTTATCTTTTATGGGTAAATATTCCTAGGTTTTATCAACAGTGGGAAATGTATTAACACTGCCACATTTCTAAGAATGACAAACACTTACCCTGATGACAACATGTCCTCGACGTCCACCTCCCTCCAGGGCACCCCTTTGCTCTGTGACCATGACAATGCGTCCATCCTCCTCATGTCTTCGTATGTTCTCTTCACCCTGGTGCTGTATGCGGTAGTATTCTGTCTGTGTGATACAAACAAACTGACAATCGTCACAGCGCGTTCGCATCACGCCTCGGTGGTAAAGTTTGTCCATAGTGGGGAGGATCCCAAAGCTGTCTCCAACCTGCAGCTGCTCTGTCTCACCATTCACATGTTCCACCTCAACATGACCATTAATGAGCACTGACCACGAGTCCAATTCTTCTCCATCATTCATGACAACAGTGCCTGCCTTCTCTACCACTGCAAACACCATGACACTGCACAGCGCTCTCCGAACAGCCAGTGTCATGTTGGTAAATGCCTTCAAGTGCTGTGTGAACTCTAGCAAAGTCTCTACATCGTCTTCTGTGCGTTCTGACGGGTCTTTCTCCAGACACTCTCGAATTGTGTCACGTACTGTTAAGCTCTGCAACATAATCAAATAAAAAACATCAGAACACATTTCCATCACCCTCCTGTTATCAGCTTATATCGAGAAGTGTGAGGAGTCCTTACAAGCTTAAAAGGACAATGCAACATAATTTATCCCTTTCTTATCCTGTCCTGTTATCAGCTTATGCTGAGAAGTCTGAGGAGTCCATACAAGCTTAAAAGGACAATGCAACATAATTTATCCCTTTCTTATCCTGATGCAACAGAAATGATGATAAATTAATAGCATCCAATTTTTAAATGATCACTTTCATTATCACTTACATCCATGCTCTCTGCAAGGTCCTCTTCTTCGTCTGAATCAACGATGGACTCTATGAGCCCTGAGAGGTCGACCTCGTCAGCATCCAGAGAACTCTGTACACTTGCCATCGTATCGGAGCCGCTGTATGCTGAGCTTGTGTCTGATGAGTGAGAAGATCGGTTTGATTTCATGTATAATTCTGGTCGTCCCGTCAACGCTGGAGAAAACTGCTGTAAACACAAACAAGTCTTATTAAAATACTGTCATGTGTTACGTGTGACTATAGATGGCATATGGATTGGTAATTGAGCAATTACAGGTCGTAATTATAGCACTATTGCTAATTCACATACACTACGGTTCACTACAGCATGCACTAAGTCTTTTCAGTCTGCTGTGAAACTAGTCATTGCCTGGTAACAGCTTCCAACAGCACATATTCCCTTTGCTCTGGGTTCCCTAACTTTCCCTGTGCCGCAGCTACCAGCTTCTAACAGCAACAGCTGAAAATGACTGAACTGCAGTTCCCTGACTAACACACCAACCGACTCTTCACTTCCCTGCACTGCACTAATTGAACTCTGTTGTCGTGCAATATGGCCTAAGTGGAGGATATAGAAAACACCACTTCCAACAGTATTTCCATTGTTGCTCACATGCCGCTGCCTAGTAACGAACGTTCTCTCATTGTTTGTTTCATGGCTATTCCTTTCCAAAGGGGCTATATGCCACAATATGAATTAAATCAGACCGCTGCTTTTATGCATCTACTTTCATTCTTTAAAACACAGCAGTTACACATGCAGCTTGCTTTAGCGTGCAAAAATGATACATTTTGCCCACAATGTGCACTGCGGTTTGTACACTTCTCATAATACACAGTGATTCATGAAATTAATTTAATAATACATGTTTTGTTTCAGAGAACCCATCTTTTGTTAAGTCCTGTTGTGATACCTTTGCAAATAATTTCTTGACATGGGGGGGGGGCAGAAATTCGTGGGCATATGTCCCATTAAAAAGACCATAAGTCAACCTCATTCTGAAAAATAAGCACCCTCTCTGACGAGAGGAAATGTCCGAGTCCCTTGGGACTCACAGCCATATTTTACTGTCTCAGATTTGAGACTTAAATTTTTGTCGCTCCTAAGACTCGCAGGGTCACAGTGGAGGTATTTGACCCCACCTCCACACGGGTACCCTGACTAAGCTCTCAACGTCAAAGTTACTTTATGCTGGCGGTTTACCGCCAATCAGTTCGTCTTGGCGTCAGTCTTCGTGAGGCCCACGACCAGAGATTCTTAACATCCGAACTCTTGCGGTAATAGTCCTCTCTGACGAGAAGATGGGTTTCTCTCTTATGAATATGCTTGGCCTTTCGTCAAAAATATATTTCCCACATATAACATGTTATTGAAAAATTCTTCCTTTAGCACTACACACAAGTCCCCTGGCAGTACAGGCTTTACAGAGCACATCATGCCCAACTTCCATATCTTCTCCAACAGCAGCAGCTTATCATTTGAAGGGTCGTAAGCTTGACCACTGCCAAAAGTTTTGTCAGAAACATGGGGATCCCAAGCAGAAAAAACCCGCAAGATTCAGCAGGCTTTCGGCGATGATGCAATGGGGGTCACTCAAATTAACGAGTGGTTCAACCGCTTTAAACATGGCCGTATGTCGGCGGACAGTGAACAGCGTTCTGGGAGACTCAATGCTGATGTCATTGAAAAGTGCGGACACTGATCATGGAAGACCGTCGTTTGATCATCCGTGAAGTTGCTGATGAGGTTGGGATCAGCAGAGGTTCCGCTAACACAATTTTAACTGAGGATTTGGGCATGTGAAGAGTGGCAGCAAAATTTGTGCCCAAGCTGCTTTCACCAGAGCAGCAACAACTCCGCCTTGAGGTCGCACAGGACATGCTGGAGTGCGCCAACAGGGATCCTGAGTTCCTGAAGACTGTGATCACTGGTGACGAGTGGTGGGTGTACGGATATGACCCGGAAACCAAGGTCCAGGCGTCACAATGGAAGCATCCAACATCCCCGAGGCTCAAAAAAAGCACGACAGGTTCGGAGCAATGTGAAGGTGATACTGACTGTTGTGCATCATGAGTACGCACCACTAGGCCAGACTGTCAATAAGGAGTACTACCAAGAATTCCTCCGCCATCTTCGTGATGCAGTTCGGCGCAAGATACCGGAGCTGTGGGACGCACGTAACTGGCAGCTGCATGATGACAACGCCCCAGCTCATTCATCACACCTGATCCAGGGTTTCCTGGCCAAGCACGGCATTCCGCAGGTTCGCCAGGGTCCCTACTCTCCTGACATGGCTCCTTCTGATTTCTGGCTATTCCCGAGATTGAAGACACCGCTAAAGGCTGCCGTTTTCACAGCCGCCAGGACATCATACAGAACGCGACGGCGCAGCTGCACGCCATTCCAAAAGAAGCCTTCGAAAATTGCTTCCAGCGATGTAAGGACCGCTGGGCTAAGTGTGTGGAGTCACAAGGGGCCTACTTTGAAGGGGATTAGGTATTGTAACCACCTTGATACAGAACTTTGTTTTCCCGGCTCAAGATCGAATACTTTTTGGACAGGGTAGTACATGCCAAACCACACACAGCACAAAATTATAATTACCGTGTCCTCGAAAACCAGGTTAACGTTGGAACGATCCATGTTGCCTGATGTAATAGATCCCCTTCCTCCGCCACCGACACCAACCCCTCGACCACCTTGGACTTCAGGGTAGTCTATCTGCAATAAACGAAACAGGACAGGATGAGTCACTATCAAACACTCTCTGCTATCAGACACTTCCGTAGCCCGCTGTCTCCTTCCTCCTCCGTGTAGGTGGCAGCACAGAACACGCTGCAGGCAGATAACAATGCCTTACATTACGTTTCACATCTACGCCACTTCTGAGACAAACTTTAAGATCCTTTCTGTCACCCACCCTGACATTCATTAATCATAAACCTTAGTTACTGAGAGGATGACGTTCATGGTGGAGCTATGGGAACACATGTTTCATATTCAGGGGATCTCAGGTTCGAATCTAGGCCCAGAAGTCGAATATTCTGATTTGATTTGTCTCATTCTGGTCCGTCACACTATCAGTTACAAAGTAGATAACTTTCAGTCCAGTATGACATACAGGTTTACAACACTTCAGTCTTTATTCGCCTTACATGTTTCGATTCAAAAGAATCATCTTCAGAGGCGCACCTCTACGAGCAGGAAACACTGTGACGTAAGATGTTTTAACATTGAGCACTTAGGTTATGAATAGTGCTCACTATATCACAGTTTGCCCTATGCAGCCACGTTGACGTGTAGATTTACGTGTGATGTATACGCTTAAACGAAACACGTCTACGTGGCTGCATAGGGCAAACTGTGATATAGTGAGCACTATTCATAACCTAAGTGCTCAATGTTAAAACATCTTACGTCACAGTGTTTCCTGCTCGTAGAGGTGCGCCTCTGAAGATGATTCTTTTGAATCGAAACATGTAAGGCGAATAAAGACTGAAGTGTTCTGAACCTGTGTGGCACACTGGACTGAAAGTTATACACTTCGAATATTCTGATTAACGCTTTTAACCTTAACTAAGTAACCTTCAGAGCATTCAGGAATAAACAGCGGTCCGATCCGTAAAATGATGCGTCCAGAATCTGGAAGGGGCCGGTCAGGGTAATGAAGTACAGCACTGTTACCATTCGGCGCTCACCGCGTTCCAGGACTCTGTTCCACCACCCCCGTCTCATTGTGTCCAAGCGCCCCGACCGAAACAGCTCGAATAGTTGGGACGCAACTATGTCAACATCCTCAGCGCACATACCACGCCGTTCTGCGCGGCACTGAGCACCGGCATTTATCTGAGGCCCCAAGAACAAGACCCGCGGAAACAGAGCTCCCAGCAAATCCACCCCTCCTTCCATTATCCGCATAACAAATTCATGATCTGTGGCGGCTGGTGAACACCGCACGGCGCCCCAACGCTACTTACGTTGCCATGGTAACTACATGATGCTGACAGACGCTCTTTTGTAGAAACAAAATAAATTAAAGGGGAGAAATGAGTATTTCCAAAGTCTCTCTTCTCCATAACGGTCTCGCTTGGATTAAGCCTTAATCAAATCTGCAGGCGTATAAGCACCAACGCTACATGGGTTCATGCCTACCCTGTTACACACCAATACATTCTTGCTAGAAGGGGGTGGTTTCTAATGCTTGGATGTTTAGGGTTGGAATAATGTGCTGGAAAATGGACACACATCCTCTCCACCGTCACACAGACATCAAGTGCAGTACGTGAAACGAAATTAATGGCTTAGATGAATTAATCCAAATTAAATTCAGTTCGGTTGCGGGAACACGAAACGTGCTACTAAATCAATACAGTCCCATCTTCCGGGAACTGACCCCGTGTAGTCGGGTAATTCACTAACCTTTCGGACGAGAGCACTGCTTCCATTTTCAGGGTTGAAGAGTAAGCGAAGCAAGAAGAACTTCGATGACAGAAAACAAACACTATAAATGAAATACATGTCAAAAAGCAGTTAAAATAGAAGCCGTAGATAAGAAACCAGAAATGGTTAAGGAAATTTGATGTTCACCTGTTCTGCTGTGGCGGGGGAGGCCGGAGAAGGGGATCCGTGCCATGAATGGGACTGGAACCTTGGCCTTCTCCTGTTTTCTGCCCGTTCCCTTGCAATGGCCAGTTCAACTGTCCTTTTCGAAAGTACCATAAACTTCAACATTGCGGTAGTCCTCTCCACATTCACGCTAATAATAAAGAATCATATTTTCTTCCTTCACAGCACGTGGGTGCAGATAATGCCATGCGTACCGTCTTCCTCTGTCAATTTCTCTTACACGCCGATTCGCTCTCCGCGAGTCTTATGTTTTCCTGACGTGTCACAACAGCGCCGCCATCGTATCAGAAAGGAACTTGCACAAGGCACAGGCATTTTGTCATTTTCGGTCTTAGCTAATCATTGTTATGTTCTACACAAAATGGAAGTCAAGAATTATGACGTGTTAAGAGAGAGAGAACACAGCCCGTCCACACAAGTTAACTTAATTCTTTGGAATATATTAGAACCAGAAAAAATGAAAAGAAGTCGATCGGGATTGCCCGACGTGAGCCGATGAGAGGAGTTTCTTACTACATTTACAGTTCTATTCCCGTGTCACAAGGAGCTATATCATTCTTAGTTAAACTTGATGCGAAAAAAAAAACAAAAAACATATTGTACTTCATAGAAGAACTCTGTAAAGTTAGATTGTGATAAGGGCAGCGCCATAGCTCAAGCGGTTAGTCGCTGGCTTCCCACCGCGGCGGCCCGGGTTCCATCTCGGGTCTGTCAAGTGGGATTTGTGGTGGACAAGGTGGCGCTGGGGCAGGTTTTTTCCCCCCCGAGTACTTCGGTTTCTCCTGCCAATCTTCATTCCACCAACTGCTCCACAATCACCCTCACCTGTCATCTGGGGCTGGTACAAGAGGCCAGAAGTGGCCGCAGTACAAGGGACTTAGTGCCAGTATGGAACCAACGACAAGGGAATATAACGCAGTATACGGCGTCGTTAGAAGGAGCCAGGTAACAATAAGTTATCATCCTCACTGACACTTTAACGCAATTTCATTTTCTCAAGAGTTTTCTACTGAACTACTAATTACTACGAAGAGCAATACATATGATTAACGCGTTTACTAAATGCAATTAATAATTTTGTGTATTAGCATCATGCTGCAGTTAGGATTAGAATTTTCGGGTTTGTTTACCGTCCAACAGGCAATAATATCTAATGCTTTTTAAAATCCGTCACTGCACTACATGTTTGTGCGCTGAAATCCGTCACTGCACTATATGTTTGTGCGCTGAAATCCACACTGCACACTAGACAGACAACATATGGCACAGAATCCACACTGCACACTGGACAGACAACATATGGTACAGAATTATGAACAACCCCGATTTCATTTAGAAACAGTATAAATATGAAAACATGGACCGCAGTTACTCGGAAGGCACAGAAGTTACCCCTAATTTCAATGCGCCTGATGATGGCCGAAACACATAGCGTAGTGATGAATTTTAAAAAAGGATTTAATTTTAAATCTTGATATTGTTGCATGGTGGACAGTAAACAAACTCGGGGAAAAAAAAAAATTCACTTTTGCACTTTTATATCGCAATTTCAGGTACCACGGGGCAATTCTCCGTCCACGAACCAAAATTAGATCTCGTTTCTAACACCACCAACAAATATGGAGTTCCATTAGCAACTAAAACTTATCAGATATTCGGTTGGTCTCAGCATCCTGTCTCCTGGGCCCCTCTTCCTCTTCCTTCCAGGATGCCCCCCCCCCAGTGCGTCACTTCCCGTGCCCGAACTCCTCCTTCTCGACGTCACACGAGCTACCGTCTCAGTGGAAGCGGCGATTGTGATTTAACACAAAACAGAGGCCCCAAGTTGCTTCTTCAATGGTAAAAACGGTCTATGTCACATCGAGTGCATCTGGGAACAGTATACATGTAAACATGCCGGACTATACGGCCTCACATCACAGCCACCGCCGCGGGAGCCCCAAATCCCGTCAGAGTGTACATAGGTCGGTCGGTCGGTCTGTCTGTCTGTCTGTCTGTCTGTCTGTCTGTACAGGCCTGTAAACCCTATAAACGTTCGGTAACAAACTCGGTCCTCTGGTCGTCGGCGAGAAGTGAACAGAAAAAAGCACAGACAAGAGACAGAACAGATATGCGGGAAGGGCGGAAGTGTGTATGTGTGTGTGTGTATAGAAACGAAATAATTAAACTATTACCCTCCCCCCAATCAAATACGGGGCAATGTAAACCGCTTCCACGAACAACAAAACAATTTCTGAAATTCCACATTTCTCTGCGCAGGAATGGCAGTGTAAAGGTAAAAACTTAAGCAAAGTAAAGTTGTCCCTGTGCTTAATTAAGTACCACGCCACGGACACGTATGGGGAGTAGTAGTGAGTGGCCAGCCTCACGCCCCGGGGGAACCTCAGGAACCCATTGGATACGATGCTGGGTGGGCCTCAGGACCGGTCTGGACGCTGTGGACAGAAAAATCTTTTGCCCCTGCAGGGAATCGAACACCGGCCGTCCAGTAAGAAGCCCGTCGCTATCCCAGTTCCCTGGCTTCAAAGACAACGCCATTCACTGTATCATTACTAAGAAACGACAGTGTTGCACAAAATGCCGTTATCTCACGGCGGGACTCCCTTACTGGCGCGTGACGCATTTTGTGGCAGTGCTAAAAATAACGTGACATGTACATAAGAAGCTGCGCCTGTGCGACGTGACCTGCGGTGCACGACCTCCTCGTCTTTCTGACACACACTGTGTTTATCAGTGGTACAGCCACCAGGCTGCGCTGGAACCGAGGGATCGGGTTCGATTCCTGGCAGAGGAGAGAGCGCCCAGGCCAACCGCCCTTCGCCCCGGGGTAGAAGGGCCGAGGCATAAACCTCCATCTAGTATCGAAGTCAAGAATCAACACATACAAATTCTACCGTCAAAGCAACAATTGTTTATTAACATACACAGCACTATATGTTTCGACCCTAACGGGCCATCCTCAGGTGCTGCTAGTCTCACACACTCAACCACTGAACTGCAACCCTCGCATTAACATTTATATACACACGGTTCACAAAAGTTACTTTCTGCATTTATTCAGTTCATCAACTGGACTAGACTAGACTTTGATTTAC